GAACCCAACATATACCTTCTTCTTGTTCATGCCTGTGCAGCTCTACATTGCAGGAGAAAAATCAATCGACTGACATCTTGAAATTCACTGTCATCAATCTCAGACAAACCCTAAGTACTGCCCAGCAACTTTCCACTTTCTCTCTCCCACACCCATAATGACCATTCCATACCTTTCCTTGCTCCTCAAACCTCCCATTCTTCCTTCACACTCATTTTCAGCAGGTGACCCTGAATCAGCTTTGTTAAGAACCTCTTTGTATCAGTTAAGCAACTCTTGTTTTAAAGCAGGATTTCTCAACACTATTGACATTGAGGCTGAGCAAGTCTTTATTGTGGGGGATTGTTCTGTGTATACAGGATGTTAGCAGAATCCCTGGTCTCTATGCACCAGATGCCACTAACACCCATTGCCAGTTGACAACCAAAAATATCTCCAGACATTGCCAGATATCCATTGAAGAGTACAGTCTCCCCCGGTTGAGAACCACTGGTTTAAATCCACAGAAACCAATTCCAGCTGGAGATTTACTGAGAGGATAATGGAATAACTCACAGACAGAACTTGAGTAGTATACAAATCCCCAGGGCTGGAGATCTTCGGCCTTCTTTCTAGAAGTTGTCATTAGGTTATTTCCTTCTGTCTTTGGGTGTTCCTGATTTTCAAATTCTCAAGTTCAAATTCTCAGTAGGAAGAATTTAAGTCCTGTTTAGGTCAGGTATTCACTCCTATATCCTGGAGAATAGGGTCTGTGACTAGAATAAAGCTAGGAAGCGATATTCAATAGGAAAAAATTAATAGCCACCATACTCCCTTTGTATTCTGTATCTACATTCTGCTAAAGTGACATAAAACTGACTACAAAGACTTCAATAAATTGCAGTTTATTTTTCTATGATAAAGAAATACATCCGGAGGTGGCAGCTTTTGGCCTGTATTCAGCTGCTGGGTAATCATCACAGCCTTTCTGCATTCCTCAGCTCTGACTTTTCATCTTCCAGCTTATTGCCTCAGGTTGAAAGACAGCTAGCATACTTTCTGACGTCATGAACCATGACCATATTTAGAAATAGGAAACAGGTCGTGCATGGTGGCTTACATCTGCAATCCCAGGGCTTTGAGAGGCCAGAGCAGGAAGATCACTTGAGGCCAGGAGTTCGAAACGAGCCTGGGCAACATAGCAAGACCCCCATCTTTACCTGCCCCCCAAAAAATTAGCTGGACATGACATTGAGACTCCATCTCTACCAAAAAAAAAAAAAAAAACAATTAAATAAATTAATTAAATACAGAAATTAGCCAGGTGTGGTGGTGTGCACTTGTAGTCCTAGCTACTAAGGAAACTGAGGTGGGAAGATCACTTGAGCCCAGGGGCTTGAGGTTCAGTGAGCTGTGACTGGCCACTGCCCTCTGGACTGGATAAGAAAGTGAGACCCCATCTGTATATGAAAAAAAAGAAGGGAGCTGGTGCAGTGGCTCAGACCTGTAATCCCAGCACTTTGGGAGGCCGAGGTGGGCAGATCACGTGAGGTCAGGAGTTTGAGACCAGCCTGGCCAACATGGTGAAAACTGTCTCTACTAAAAATACAAAATAAGCTGGGTGTGGTGGTGGGCACCTATAATCCCAGCTACTTGGGAGGCTGAGGCAGGAGAATCACTTGAACTTGGGAGGTGGAGGTTGCAGTGAGCTGAGACTGCACCACTGCACTCCAGCCTGGGCGACAAAGCAAGAGTCTGTCTCAAAAAAAAAAAAAAATTGGTATAAACAGGAATGCAGAACTGCATGTGAGTTGCTGCTCTGGGCACACTGCCTACAGGGTAGCCCTGCATTGCAAGGAACAGTACATCTGCTGCTGCTATGCACTGGCATTTCAATAAAAGTTGCTGTTTAACACCACCAGCTCACCCTTGAATTCTTTCTTGGGTGAAGCCAAGAACCTTCAATTTCCTGTCCTGCATCAGTCTCATGCTCCCAAAAGTTCACCCAATTTTTTTTTTTTTTTTTTTTTTTTTTTTTTTTTTTTTTTTTTTTTTTTTTTTTTTTTTTTTTTTTTTTTTTTTTTTTTTTTTTTGAGTGGGAGTTTTGCTCTTGTTTCCCAGGCTGGAGAGCAATGGCACAATCTTAGCTCACTGCAACCTCCACCTCAGCTGGTCTTGAACGTCTGACCTCAGGTGATCTGAGATCACCCTTGACTCCACAAAGTGCTGAGATTACAGGTGTAAGCCACCACGCCTGGCTGAGTTCTCCCTATTAATGTCAAACAGTGCAGACACCCTGTTGTCATAGCACACCACAGCCCAGAACTGGTTTCCAGCTATTCTGCCTCAGCCTCCTGAGTATGTGGGACTATAGGTGTATGCCACCGGGTCCAACACAAGTCAGGTTTTTGTTTGTTTTGTTTTGCTTGGTTTTGTTTTGTTTTGTTTAGACAGGGTCTTGCTCTGTTGCCCAGGCTGGAGTGCAGTGGTACAATCTCAGCTCACTGCAACCTCCACCTCCTGGATTCAAGCAGTCCTTCTGCCTCAGCCTCCCAAATAGCTAGGATTACAAGCATGTGTCACCACACTCAGCTATTTTTAGCAGAGACAGGGTTTCACCATGTTAGTATTTTTAGTAGAGATGGGGTTTCACCGTATTGACTAGGCTGGTCCCAAACTTTTGACCTCAAGTGATCTGCCTGCCTCAGCCTCCCAAAGTGCTGGGATTACAGGTGTGAGCCACCTGCCTGGCCTACTCTAAATTTTAACACCTAATTCAGGCACCGAGTGTTCATCTGTGCTAGATAATAGGTAATAAACATGCACAATATAGTTTCTGCCTTCAATGTGTTTAAAGTCTGTGTTTTGCAGTGTTGGGATGTGGTATGGTCTCCTGATCTGACACCACCAATAGTTACTAATGACATATAACCAATACGTAGATAATACAATTTCCCATGTTTTTCAAATTGAAATTTAGTTTTCCTGCACCACTAACCTGAATATTCTCCTGAATATCCTTTCTTCTCTAGTGCCTTTACTCTTCAATTGATCCATTAGAGCCAAATATGACTATTTCTTTACATTTGCCTTTGCTCTTAACCCTTCAGCAGAGGCAGAGCCACAACATTCTTGGACTTTCATGATGATAAGGCAGATAGATTAAGATCTTGATTTAAATAAAATGGACAAGTGTCTTCTTCTCCTGAACCTCAAAGAGGAGTTTAACCTTGAGGTACTGATCCAAGTATGTGGATGAGAAGTGTTAGTAAAGATAACTGAGGCCAGGTGTGGTGGTTCACGCCTCTAATCCCAACACTTTGGGAGGCTGAGGCGGGCAGATTGCTTGAGCCCAGGATTTCGAGACCAGCCTGGATAACATGGCAAAAACCCGTCTCTACAAAAAATGCCAAAAAATTAGCCAGGCATGGTGGTGTGTGCTTGTAGGCCCAGCTACTTGGGAGGTTGAGGTGGGAGGATTGCTTGAGTATGTGATGTTGAGGCTGCAGTGAGCTGAGATTGCATCACTGTGCTCCAACCTGGGCAACAGAGGGAGACCCTGTCTCTAAATACATACATATATACATACATACATACATACATACATACATACATACAATTGGCTTGAAATCCAGAGACCTAAGTTATAGTCCCAGTTCAGCCACTAATCTGAGAATGGTTAACATTTATTGAAAATTTACAATGTGTCAGTCACTTTTTAAATTAATTTGCTATGCTGTAAATAGGAGCATATTATTATTATTTTCATTTTACAGACAAGTACATGGAGGCACAGAGCATTTAAATAACTGGCAAATCATACAGTTAGGGGCACACAGAGTCCAGTTGTGCAGCAGAGACAGTCTGGTGGTAGTACTTCCTGATAAGAGAAGCTTTCATTGCTAACATAATATGTGGCAGATTGTGTACTGTGTGTTTTTGTTGTTTGTTTTTTTGGGACAGGGTCTCACTCTGTGGCACAATGATCATGGTACACTGCAGCCTCGACCTCCTGAGCTCAAATAATCCTCCCGCCTCTGCCTCCTGAGTAGCTGGGACTACAATTTAAAAATTTTCTTTAGACTGAAACATCACTGTGGTAAAGATAAAAAAGAAAAAAAATATTCTGGTAGAGATGAGATCTCACGTCGTCCAGGTTGGTCTCAAATTTTTGATCTCAAGCCACCCTCCTAAGTGCTAGGATTACAGGGTGAGTCACCATGCCTGGCTTGTACTGTTTTTCTAGCAATGTTATCTCATTCAATCTTTGTGAATAATCGTAAGGTAGATATAATACCAGTTTTTCAGGTTAAAAATCTAATTGGCAGAATGAAACTTCGAAAACACCTGTGGCTCCAAAAGCTTCTGGAAACCTCGAGACACACATGTGCATCTTTGAGCCTCAGTTTCCCTATCTTTAAAATGAGCAGTTTGGGGTAGATGTCTGTTCCCTGGGGGAGGATGCAGAGGAAAGCGCTGTCTGCGGATGGGGAAAGAGAGAAGGTGGGGTAATTACCGTCAAACCACAGTGACAGAGAGCCCAGCATAACCGGGGTGTATGCGGTTACAAATGCCGGTAAGATTCCCACCAAGGCGGAGGACGGGGGTGTCAGAGCCGAGCGAGGCCTGTGGGCGAGAATGGGCCTGACAGCCCTTCTCCGACCCACGTGGGCGCTGCAGGCGCAGGTCAGCGGCTAAGGGAGAGGCGATCCCTGCGGCTCTGCACGGGTCTTGAGACAACACCTCACCCGCCCAAGTCCTGCTCCACAGGCTTCTCCGGGAAAGCTAGGGAAGGAAGAGGCGCGGCCTTCCCAGCCCGCATCTCAGAGCGCCACGTCCCTCCTGGCTCAGCCTCCCCACAGGAGGGAGGCTTCCCCTCCATAGCTTTTGCGCTCCCCATCGCCCGCCTCCAGGTTCGCTGGCGCGGCCTCGTCCCCGCTCCCGCCAATCGGCGTCTTCCGCGATCCCGAGCCGGACCAATCAGCGGCCGTGGGGACTGGGAACTGTCGCCATGGCAGCCAGCAGGCGGGCGCGCGCGGCGGGAGGAGGGGCGGAGTGGAACTGTGGGCTGGGGGCCCAAGCACAGGTCTGTGCGCTGGAAGCTAGCAGCAGGCGCAACCTCGCGCGCCGAGACCCGGCGAGGTAAGGCAGGTGGCCGCGAGGTGGGTGCGGAGCAGCGCGGCAGGAGGTTGAAGGTGGCGGGTGGTGGGGAGCGGTCCAGAGATAAGGCTCAGGTCTTCGCCTGCCTTGCCAGGGCAGTGAGGATGGCGGGGGCCGTGCAGTGGGCGGGCACCGGCGGGGAGGGGGCTCCCATCCCGAGTCCTAGGCGCGGGGTTCTCTCTGCTCCACTCGCAGCAGTGCACCCAAGCTTTCTTCGGGGTCGAGGAGGGTGGCTTGCTCTTGGCGGGGAGCAGGAGAGGGTAGGTACCGAGCCGAGACCCGGGCGGGGTCCCGCTGGGTCTGGGCAGGTCGATGGGCGAGGGGGTGCCCACTAGTAAGGAGGGACACCTACCAATTCCAGGCGATGCTCGCCCCTGCCGCGGAGCAAAGCTAGGCCTGGGGATCCTGCTCTTCTGCTGTCTGGTTAAGCTGGCAACCTCTGACACTTAGGAGAAAGTTAGTGCCAGTCCTGGCCTTTTCCCTTAAGTGACAAATTAGGTGCGAGATGAGCCTTTTGGTTTTAGGAGATGAGAAAGAGAGTACTTCCTCCTTGCACCTGCTAAGTGGTAACTCAGTGAGAAAATGCGGTTATTGTGGTTGGTGTTGGCAACGGTCTTAGATGGCAATTATTTTACAGTATCAAAGGGCTAGGAGAGAGAGGGAAGGGAGCGAGAAAGAGAGAATATAAAGGAATGAGAATGAACGGGAGCTATTATTATGATTTTTGGGAGACAGAACCTCTTGAAATTCTGTGTCCACTAAACTCCTAAATTGAATAATGTACAGTTTATGCAATTGAATAAGCTAGTGCTACCATCTAAGCCTACTACTAAGGCTCTGTTAAATCCGTGGACGAATATGAACACTAAAAGATATTACCTTTGTTTAAAAAGAAGGGCAGGTTAAATGCAAATATTTCTGATAGTGAATTTTGTTTGAGGGAGATTGTGGACTTTCCCTATAGGAAAGTTTAAAGAATTGATGAGATAGTTGCTTTAAGGAATGTTCTTATGTTTTGAAACTTGAACAAACAAATATTTCAACAAATCTTCCTCAGCTAATAGGGTCAAAAATTGAAAAAAAAAAGGGCTGGGTGCTGTGGCTCACGCCTGTAATCCTAGCACTTTGGGAGGCCAAGGTGGCTGGATCACCTGAGGTCATGAGTTCAAGACCAGCCTGGCCATCAGGGTGAAACCCCATCTTAAAAAAAAAAAATAAAAAACAAACTTGAAATAAAATTCGGGAAATGTAGAATTAGAAATGAAATCTCAAATAACATCACTGTCATTATTAGGATGAACCTGGAAACTTCCATTTCTCATTGTGGTCTTCAAGCTCTCCAGGATCTGATCTACCTTTGTAGTAAGGGGTCAAAAACATTTTTTTAACTAGACAATTACGGAAATTTAAAGGAGTCAAAAATTCGTTTCTGTTTCCATGTGTTTACTTATGCCCTTCTCTGTCTATCCAAATTTTACTCAACTTCTTTTTTTTGAGACAGAGTTTTGCTCTTGTTGCCTAGGCTGGAGTGCAATGGTATGATCTCAGCTCACTGCAACCTCTGCCTCCCAGGTTCAGGTGATTCTCCTGCCTCAGCCAATCAAGTAGCTGGGATTACAGGGGCCCACCGACACCCCCAGCTAATTTTTTTTTTTTGTATTTTTAGTGGAGACAGGGTTTCACTATGTTGGCCAGGCTGGTCTTGAACTCCTGACCTCTGGTGATCCACCTGCCTTGGCCTCCCAAAGTGTTGGGATTACAGGCGTGAGCCACCATACCGGGTCAACCTATCTTCTATCTTGAATCTGTCTGTGCTGTGTTTACCTTTCTTTGCTCTCCCAAGGTATATATTATTCATATCATACATTTTGTATATATCCTTTCAGCATGCTTTTTGCCAAGTTGGTTTGTGCTCTGTGAATAACAGTTGAGATAATATGCACAATTAAAACAATTAGGGTACTTTTCGAAACACTATTAATTATGGGTACTAATATCAGTAATATCCATTCAGATGTCTATTTTGTTTTGGGATATGTTATGAATCTCTGTACACATACTAAACTAATTTTGTGTTACTTAGAATAATATTGAAATTGCTTTCCACTTTCTAAGGACGCTTTTGAAGGCTGGGGTGTATAAAATACCGTTTTGAGTACTGGGTAGCTGGCAGAATCAAGTGCAGGATTTATAAATGTATTGAAAATAATTCTTTAGTCTGGTCACAGTGGCCAATGCTTGTAATCCCAGCACTTTGGGAGGCCGAGGTGGGTGGATCACTTGAGTCCGGGAGTTCGAGACTAGCCTGGCCAACACAGTGAAACCACATCTCTACTAAAAATACAAAAATTGGCTGGGCATGGTGGCATACATCTGTAATTCCAGCTACTTGGGAGGTTGAGGCAGGAGAATGGCTTGAACCCGGGAGGCGGAGGTTTCACTTAGCCAAGATCATACCACTGTACTCCAGCCTGGGCAACAGAGCAAGACTCCATCTCATAAAAAAAAAAAAATCCTTTAGGGATAATCTTTGAAGTATTGCGAATAATTAAGTTGACTATATTTGGCATGATAGATTATTAACTTTTTCTATATAATTAAAGGTCTCAAAAGGGACAATTTATTATTTTTATGTTTAATATATACAATTAGTTTATAAACTTTAAAAAACAGGCTCCTGGGCTGGGCGCGGTGGCTCACACCTGTAGTCCCACCACTTTGGGAGGCCAAGGCAGGTGGATCACCTGAGGTCAGGAGTTTGAGACCAGCCTGGCCAACACAGTAAAACCCCGTCTCTGCTTAAAATACAAAAATTAGTCAGATATGGTGGCAGATGCCTGTAATCCCAGTTACTTGGGAGGCTGAAGCAGGAGATTCACTTGAACCCAGGAAATGGAGGTTGCAGTGAGCTGAGATCACGCCCTTGCACTCCAGCCTGGGCAACAAGAGGGAAACTCGGTCTCAAAAAATCAAAACAAAACAGAACAAGANAAAAAAAAAAAAAAAAAAGCAGGTTCCTAACAATTTCAACTAATTGATTCAAGGAAAAACCTCAATCACTTTATTTTCAATCAAAAACATTTTTTATAACTCTGATGTGGTAAAAAATGTACTTACTTAGAATTCCATGGCCAGATTCCAGTTTTGGCTCTGCCAAATGATCTTGGCCTGTCAGTTAACTTCCTTCTGTATTTATAACCTTTTATAAAAGTAGGGCTGAATTAGGTTACGGTAGTCCTCCTTTGTCCTAGAGGCATATGTTCCAAGGGTCTCAATGGATGCCTGAAACTACAGATAGTACCAAGCCTTATATACTCTTATGTTTTTTTGCTATGCATATATAATAATAAAATGAATGTAATAGAACACTATAATGAAAGTTATATGAATGTGATCTTTCAAAATATCTTGTACCTCAGGTAATTGAAACGGCAGAAAGTGATATCGAAGATTAGAGAGGACTATGTATCTCCAAGATAATTTCTGATCTTAGAATTCTTTGATCCTAAAATTCTAAAGCAGCCTGATAGAAGTTCAGATAGCAGTTACTTGGTTTTATTTTTGGCAGACCTACTTTTTTTGTTTTTTTTTTGACAGGGCCTCACTCTGTTGCCCAGGCTGGCTGGAGTACAGTGGTGTGATCATGGCTCACTGCAGCCTGGAACTGCCAGGCTCAAGTGATCCTCCTACCTCAGCCTCCTGAGTAGCTAGGACTACAGGTGCATGCCACCACACCTTGCTAATTTTCAAATACTTATTTTATAGATAAGAGGCCTTGCCATGTTGCCCAGGCTGGTCTCAAACCTCTAGGCTCAAGTGATCTGCCTGCCTGGGCTGTGAGCCACTGTGCCTAGCCCAGAAGGCTGTTTTTAAAAGTTTGTAAACTAATTGCATATATTTAACATAAAAATAACAAATTTTTCCTTTTGAGACCTTTAATTGTATAGAAAAAGTTAATATCAAGAGATTATTTTGAATACATTTCTTTCATTGGTTTGTAACTGCATCAGGACTTCGGTTCTGGCAATGTTCAGAGAAGAGCCCTAATGTGGACTTTCAAAAATGACTTTAAGCCTGGGCATGGTGGCTCCTGCCTGTAATCCTAGGACTTTGGAGGGCCAAGGCAGGCAGATCACTTGAGCTCAGGGGTTTGAGACCAGCGTGGGCAACATAGTGAAATCCCATCTCTACGAAAAATATAAAAACTAGCCAGATGTGGTGGTGTGTGCCTGTAGTCCCAGCTACTCAGGAGGCTCAGGTAGAAGGATGGCTTGAGCCTGGGAGTTGGAGGTTGTAATGAGCCAAGATCGTGTCACCACAATCCAGTGTGGGTGATAGAGTCAGACCCTGTCTCAAAAAAAAAAAAAAAAAAAAAAAAGACTTAAAGTTGTGTGTCAAACTGGTTTTCCTTTTTGTTTTGTTTTGTTTTGTTTTGTTAATTTTTTTCTTTTTTAGACAGGGGCTTTCTCTGTCGCCCAGGCTGGAATGGTGTGAATGGCTTACTGCAGCCTTGACCTCCTTGGCTCAAGCAATCCTTCCACCTCAGCCTCCTGAGTTGCTGGGACTACAGGTACACACTACCACACCCAGATAATTTTTTGATTTTTTTTGTAGAGGCCGGGTTTCACCATGTTGCCCAGGTTTGTTTCGAACTCCTGGGCTCAAGCAATCAATCCACCCACCTCAGCCTTTCAAAGTGCTAGACTTGTAGGTATGAGCCACCATGCCCAGCCTGGTCTTGCTTTTTAAGTTCTACCACTTCGGGTGTTTACAGAATAGATTTTCATATTTCTCTATGTTTCATTTTCAAGACAAGAAGGGCATTAATATGTATTGAGCAATTACCGTTGTCATGCACTATGTTAGTTACTTTGTATTCATTCTTATTTTACTCCCATCAACGAACCTGTGAAGAAGTATGAGTTCAATTTTATAGGTAGGAAAATCAAGACTCAGAGGCAAGTAGGTTGCGAGTAAATGGGAGAAGTTAGGATTTAATTGCTGTTTGTGTGTTTATTTTTTACCATGTTGTGTCAATAAAAGTCATATACCCTTCCAAAATACAACATGCATATCATTACTCTTCTGCATAGATTATTTTATGTTAAATATACCATATAAAAAAAGAAATATGGCCGGGCGTGGTGGCTCACACTGTAATCCCAGCACTTTGGGAGGCCAAGGCGGGTGGATCACAAGGTCAAGAGATCGAGACCATCCTGGCCAACATGGTGAAACCCTGTCTGTACTGAAAATACAAAAAATTGGCTGGGCTTGGTGGCACATGCCTGTAATCCCAGCTACTTGGGAGGCTGAGACAGGAGAATCACTTGAACCCAGGGGGCGGAGGTTGCGGTGAACCGAGAATGCACCATTGCACTCCAGCCTGGGCAACAAGAGTGAAACTCCATCTCAAAAAAAGAAAAGAAATACATGTGTCCTTGACATTTGAAAATATTTTATTTGTCTTTTTTTTAAACAGACTACTTAGAAATAACTGCTATGTTCACTAATGAGTTTGCACAGGAGCTGCTTTGTATTTTGCATGTTACTTGGTGGGTTTTCAAAAAAGAATTTTGAGATATTTCATCTATTACTGATCTCTGACAAACTGGGAACAAAGTTAATTTTTTTAAAATGGTGGTAAGAGTAAAGAAAAATTCCAGTTAAGGATATAACAGGAAAAGTTGCCCTATATCTTGAAGTCTCATTGCTGAAAAAAATAAGCTTTTAATCTGAATTCCTATTAGTTATTCAAGAGGGGAGGAATACAGTAAAATTTGGGCATAATAAATCAGTATCTTTTTTTTTTTCTAAGACAGAGTCTCGCTCTGTCGCCCAGGCTGGAGTTCAGTGGCATCATTTTGGTTCACTGCAACCTCCACTTACTGGATTCAAGTGATTCTTGTGTCTAAGCCTCTTGAGTAGCTGGAACTACAGATACCTGCCACTAAATTTAGCTATTTTTTTTTTTTTTAGTAGAGACAGGGTTTCACTAAGTTGGGCAGGCTGATCTTGAATTCCTGACCTCAGATGATCTGTCTACCTCGGCCTCCCAAAATGCTGGGATTATAGGCATGAGCCACCTCTCCCAGCCAGTATCTTCTGGTTTTTGATTCTGTTATTTCATGTATCTTTCTCCCCTCCTTACTGAAATATGATATAATTTAGTCTCCTTACACATCATAAAAGTTTGGTACTTGTCACATTATGTGACAAATGCATACACTGTCATGTACCATCACCACTGTAAAAAGGCTAAATATTGTAATTTTGTGTCGTTTATTTATTTTTATTTTTTTATTTGTTTATATTTAGAACCTGTTACAGGTCAGTTTTTAGTGAGAAAACACTGGGCTAGGAGCCAAGACTTCTTCACTATTTTGGTATTGTGCAAGTCTTCTTATCTCTTTGGATCTCAGTTGACTCATCTGTAAAAAGGAGATTAAAATTATTTACCTGCCTGAACGTAAGTACTCAGTTAAGAATTGCATTGGGTTGCAAAGAAAAATGACTACCACTACCACCACCACCAAAGTACAAAAAAGGAAAAACCAAAAATGGACTTAAAAATGGCTTAAACATGCAATATTTATTTTCTTAAAGCACTAGAAATGGCACTCTAGGATAGGTATAGTGGCTTTATAGAGTTATCAGAGACTTAAGCTTCTTTCAGTTCTTTTATCAATGATCCCTAAAATGTTCTTGTAGCACTGGTTCTTATAAGCCCAAGATAGCTGCCAGAGCTCTGCCTTCATTGCCACGTTCCGGGCAGCAAAGCACAGACAAAGAAGGATGCATCCTCTTCCTTTAAGGAGAGCTCCTGAACCAAGTCTGAGGCTATAAGGAAGCAGGGAAATGTAGCTGAATGCATGGCTGCCTTCTATAAAATTGGGCTTTTGTTACTGAGGAGAAAGGAAAGATTTGGATATTGGCAAACAAATAGAAGTCTCTGCCACAATATGAATCTTTTTATCTTTCAGCTCTGAAATCTGTAAGCCATGATAACCACTTATAGAAGCTTCTGTAATTTGCCATGGCAGAGATTTAAGTCTGACTGTTAACTACAGAAGGAAATAATAATCATCTAATAAATTGTGTTTCTGTTTTTACTTTTAGCCCTTAATTCATTATAGAAGCCTTTCTGTCTTGTTTGTGGATTTGTTCTGGCTATTTAAAAAAATTACCCATAAATGCTCAATAGACATTTGTTGTACATTTATGGTTGTGTTAAAAAGAGCTAACATTTATTGAGCTACTTGCTGTAAACAAGGCACTAAATGACAGAGATAAGTTATCCCAAGGGTATCACATAACTAATCATCAGGAAGTAAATTTATGTTGAAAGTAAATGTAATTCATCTCAAGGTACATTTCACTAACACTTGCCTTTCTTGCTAGCTAAAAATAGTTTGTTCTTTTTCTTCTTTTTTTTTTTGAGATGGAGTCTTGCTCTGTCACCAGGCTAGAGTGTAGTGGCGTAATCTCGGCTCACTGCAACCTCTGCCTCCTGGGTTCAAGTGATTCTCCTGTCTCAGCCTCCAAAGTAGCTGGGACTGCAGGCATGTACCATCACGCCTAGCTAATTTTTGTATTTTTTAGTAGAGATGAGGTTTTATGTTGGCCAGGATGGTCTCAATCTCTTGACCTTGTGATCCACCCACCTTAGCCTCCCAAAAGTGCTGGGATTACAGGCATGAGCCACCACTCCTAGCCCCTTCCTTTTTTTTTTAACCGCTTAACTGTTAGTTGTCTTGAAATTTTCTCTTTGCACATAGGTTTTGCAAGAAAAAAAAAAAAGAAATTTATCTAGTTCTTGCTTAACTTATTTAGCCACACCAATATTTTATTTCCTTCTAGACTTTCTTCTTTTTTTCTTTTTTGAGGCAGAGTCTCACTCTTTCACCCAGGCTGGAGGGCAATGGTGCAATCTTGCCTCGCTGCAACCTCTGCCTCCCAGGTTCAAGTGATTATCCTGTTCCAGCCTCCCAAGTAGCTGGGATCACAGGAACACACCACTACTCCCAGCTAATTTTTGTATTTTTAGTAGAGACAGGGTCTCACCATGTTGGCCGGCTGATCTTGAACTCCTGACTTCAAGTGATCTGCCAGTCTTGGCCTCCCAAAGTGCTGAGATTACAGGAGTGAGCCATCGCACCCACCCCATTTCAGACTTTTCTTTATGAATATTATAAAAATATACCCTATACTTGGCATGCAAAATGGTTCATTTGTCATTATTTTTATTTCATAAACTGAAATAAATAGCATTGAGAAAAAGAAATTCAGGGAATGAAATTACAGTGAGAAAGAGTCTAAAGATTCAGTCAATCTTTAAGAGTTTCTAGAAGGGAGATAGGGAGTAAGTTAAAATTTTATTTCTGCACTGTATGTTTGTAGTTTTGAAAGTTTTTATATTTTTTTGGTTGTATTATGTAGGCACAAAGTACAGTAATTCTTTTGCTGTTAGTGCTTCTATTTCCTTTTTTCTGATCTAAACTCATTGACCTCAAATAAACCAAAGAATCAGGAGCCTTGTGACCATAAAAACAGCCCAGTTTTAGCTGGGCGCAGTGGCTCACGCCTGTAATCCCAGCAGTTTGGGAGGCTGAGGTGGGCGGATCACGAGGTCAGGAGTTCAAGACCAGTCTGACCAACATAATGAAGCCCCGTCTCAACTAAAAATACAAAAAATTAGCTGGGTATGGTGGTGTGCACCTGTGATCCCAGTTACTTGGGAGGCTGAAGCAGGAGAATTGTGTGAACCCTGGAGGTTGCAGTGAGCTGAGATTGCACCATTGCACTCCAGCCTCAGCAACAGAGCGAGATTCTGTCTCAAAAAATTGCCTGAACTCAGGAGGCGGAGGTTGCGGTGAGCTGAGATCGCGCCATTGCACTCCAGCCTGGGTAACAAGAGCGAAACTCCGTCTCAAAAAAAAAAAAAAAAAANGAAACTCCGTCTCAAAAAAAAAAAAAAAAAAAAAAGCCCAGTTTTGTTTTTAAGAGATATTTAACATTATAAACCTCCTGACTGAGAATGTCTGTTTGGTGAATACCATTTTCATGACTTTTAAATTTTTTTAATTAACAGAAAAGGATCATGCTATGCACTGTTTTATAAGCAGCATTTTAAAAATTGCAATTGTATTTAATAGCTTATCTTCCTTACTAGATTGAAGCCCTGTCAGGGTAAGGACTATGTTGATCTCACTCACCTTTATCTTCTAACATAGTATCTGGTACCATAGTTGGTACCTAATACATAAATATTAGTTCAGTTTAGTTTTTAGAAATAAAGTCTCAATATATACATAGATACATACTTATAATAGCTTAAAGGAAACATTCTTCAGTTCAACTTTTAATTGAAAAGGAACAGGGGCAAAAGAGGAGGGTTGAGGAAGGTGGAAAAAGATACCTAAGGGAGGAACAGAGACTACTTTCAAGGAAAGAGAATGTTTTCAGTTTTCTATACTCTTTTCACCCCTGTTATCTGTGATAATTATTTTTAACCACTGCCAGGATATCTTGCTCAACAATCAAAACAGGAAACTATCATACACACACACATATACACACACAGACGCACGTACACGTATAACAAGCAAACCTAAGTCTGTGTAACTACTGGTATAAGTCAGTAGTTAAGAAACCTGCCTCTGTGTATGAATGGAAATTTTATTTTTTGAGACATGTTCTCACTCTGTCACCCTGGCTAGAGTGCTGTGGAGTGACTACGGTTCACTGCAGCTTCAACCTGCCAGGCTCAAGTTATCCTTCCACTTCATCCCCCACCAAGTAGCTGGGACTACAGGCATGTGCCACCATGGCAAACTAATTTTTGTATTTTTTGTGGAGACAGGGGTTTCAACATGTTGCTCAGGCTGCTTTTGAATTCCTGGCTCAAGGAATCCGCCCTCCTTGTCCTCACAAAGTGCTGAGATTATAGGCATGAACCATCGTGACCAGCAGAATAGAAATTTTGACTTGGTTGAGATAGGGGAAGAAAGATTAGTTTTCTTTTAGGACTTGAAAATTTAGGGAAATTATATCTACTGAATACTAAGAGAAGTTTAAAAACTCTACCTACTTTGCAGTTTTGCCTTAGGCTATGATGCCTTTGGGGTCAGTGCCTCTCATTCCGTCTTGAGATGACTACATGATACAGAATTTCTTACTATCCTACTTTAGAAAGTAAATTACCAGCCCCTCCTAGTTTGGATACTGTTTCAGCCTAGTTCAGCCCAGTGTCTCTTCTTTAGGTCTGTATCTTTCTTAGGAAAGAAGAGGGTGATAAAGGAAAGAAGAAAGCCATTCTTACTGATCTGATAGTGGTAGAAAAGCAGGGTAGGCCCCCTTCTTCTTCCCTATGCCTGTCCTTATCACTCATCTCTCTTTCTTTTATATGGATATTTGTATATTTTCCTGTTCATGAAAATCTGTAAACCTAGTAAACTTGCTGTTATTCCTTTAATGCAGACACATTTGACATCTTGGCATTTAAAGAGATTTTTGTGCCATTACTTTTCTGCCTAATGTGCTAGAATACTTAACATTCTTTTTTAATTTTTTTTAATAATACAGTTGATGGTTACTGAGGCATTATTAAGAAGCAGAGTAAATGTTTAAATTAATTGTCCTAATCATGTTTAGAATAAGCACTAACAGATTAGAAACTAGTGGAGGAGGAAAAGTATATTAAAAACATTCTACATCAATCAAAAATAAATAAAAAAGGTGAGAAAGGAGAGGAAATAAATGTCAAAGAGGCAGGATGAATAGAAGGCCTCCAGCCTGAGCAACATACTGAAATCCCATATCTACCAGAAAAAAAAAAAAAAAATTACCATTCGTGGTGGTTTGCTTGTGGTCCCAGCTGAGATAGGAGGATCTTTTGAGCCCAGGAAATCAAACTCACAGTAAGCTGTGAGCTCACCACTGTATTTCAGCCTAGGTGACAGAATGAGAACCTGTCTCAGAAAAACAAAAAAGCCATATAGAAGGTGGTAGATTTAAAACTCAAGATATGATATTAAGGAAAGGCACAGTGGCTCACACCTGTAATCCCAGCACTTTGGGAGGCAGAGGCGGGCGGATTGGTTGAAGTTAGGAGTTCGAGACCAGCCTGGCCAACATGATGAAACCCTGTCACTATTAAAAATACAAAAAATTAGTCAGGCATGGTGGTGCATGCCTGTAGTCCTAGCTACTCAGGAGGCTCAGGCAGGAGAATCGCCTGAACCTGGAGGTGAAGGTTTCAGTGAGCCAAGATTGTACCACTGCATTCCAGCTTGGGCGACAGAGTGAAACTCCATCTCAAAAAAAAAAAAAAAGGTATGTTATTAAGTAGGCTTTCAGGGCCAGGTGCAGTGGCTTACTTCTGTGATCTCAGCACTTTCAGAGGCTGAGGTGGGCAGATCACTTGAGGTCAGGAGTTCGAGACCAGCCTGGCCAACATGGTGAAACCCTGTCTCTACTAGAAATACAAAAATTAGCCAGGCCTGGTGGTACACGCCTGTAATCCCAGCTACTTGGGAGGCTGAGGCAGTAGAATTACTTGAATCTAGGAGGCGGAGGTTGCTGTGAGCCAAGATTGCAGTACTGCACTCCAACATGGGCAGTAGAGTGAGACTCTATCTAAAAAAGAAAAAAAACAGAAAGAGCTGGAAGAAATCACCATCCCTCTCCCAGGTAGGGAGAACAATGTTGTATGGGAAAACACAAAAGGTAACAATTTAAGAAAGTGTTTAAAAAGACTCAGACTACAAATGTAAAGAAGTCCTTGGAATACCTTAATCAGTTTATTTCGTTTAATTTCTTTATGTGTGCATACAAATGATGTGAAAAAATCTATGATATGCCTAAAAATACTTTCAGCAAACATAAAATAGAATCCTAACTGAGAAAGCACAGTGGTGTAGTTTAATTGGCAACATTTTTTCTATATGGTATATAGTGGTGTGTCTTAATATCAGTAGAATCTTTTACCCTACCCTGGGGTTTCTGTCACCCAGGCTGGAGTGCAGTAGCATAATCATAGCTCCCTGCAGCCTAGAACTCCTGGATTCAAGCAATCTTCTCACCTCACCTTCCTGAGTAGCTGGGATTACAGGTGCGAGCCACTGCACCCAGCCCAATGGAATCTTAAAGTCTATTTTTATTTATTTATTTATTTATTTTTTGAGACAGAGTCTTCCTCTGTTGCCGAGGCTGGAGTGCAATGGTGTGATCTTGGCTCACTGCAACCTTCATCTCCCAGTTTCAAGCAATTCTCCTGCCACAGCCTCCTGAGTTGCTGGGACTACAGGCATGCACCACCATGCCGGGCTAATTTTAGCATTTTTAGTAGAGATGAGGTTTCGCCATGTTGGCCAGGCTAGTCGAAAACTCCTGACCTCAGGCGATCCACCCACCTCAGCCTCCCAAAGTGCTGGGATTACAGGCATGAGCCACCTCTCCCAGCCCTTCCCTTAAAGTCTATATAATAACATATCTTTTTTTTTTTTTTTTGAGATGCCACCGAGGCTGGAATGCAGTGGTGCAATCTCAGGTCACTGCAACCTTCAACTCCCAGGTTCAGGCGATTCTCCTGCCTCAGCCTCCTGAGTAGCTAGGACTACATGCATGTCCCACCATGCTCAGCTAATTTTTTTATATTTTTAGTAGAAATGGGGTTTCATCACATTGGCCAGGCTGGTCTTGAACTCCTAACCTCAACCAATCTGCCTGCCTTGGCCTTCCAAAGTGCTGGCATTACAGGCGTGAACCACTGTGCTTGGCCTCTTCAAGCCCTTTTGCCGGAGATTTTCTTCCAAGCCTGCTATACTAATTTTACAAGCTTAGTGCTGGTACTTTCTTCATCTTATCAGAAGATGATGACAGGAAGTTTTCGGATTCATAGTCTTTCCTCAGACTCTCCTTAAATGATTTGTTGATGGAAGTCCTGGAGGGCTGGCCTTCATGAATCAAACCAACTTGTATTACTTTTCAGGCAACCTATTCTTTATTCAGATACACACTCTCAGAATGCATCAAAAACTAAACTAATAAACATACTTGTCAGGTTATGTAGGACTCTTCAACATTCACATCAGATTTAGCTGCTCTTCCTTTAGCTCAGCCATCATCCATCAACCCCCCCCCCACTTCTTAAAAATAATATAATATCGTGGGGAAAATCATTTTATAATTTAATGTTTAATATGGCAACAATTTTTGGCTGAAGGCATTTACAGCAATGTTACAGTGATTTCTTATTTTGTAAACATTCTCTTATATCAACCTCTTTACCACCTTTAGCATTAATGTAGATTTTGAGGCATATAAAAGAACACCAGGATCTTGTCAGCATTTCCTGTTGACTAAATTCAGCTTTGTTTTTTTCCTTAAACTGTACTTTGCTGGAAGTTATGCAGCAGAGTATTTTTAGGAAGTTCATGACAAATTGACATCTGCATGAGTCCATCAATTTAGCCTCATGTTCCTTGAGATTTTTATGTTTATTGGAAGCATCATTGGTTTCTGCTGTCTTCGTTTGCATTGTTTGGCTGCTGATAGGTAATCCTGTTGTGCTCCACTAACAAAATGTAACATGGCCTTATCTACTTGCAGGTATCTTCCTGTCTAAAGTCAAGTAAAACACTTACTTGTTCCTTTATAAGAAAAAGTAAAATTGCTGTTATTCCTCTAATGTCAAGTATTTGCTTCACTAATATCAGCTGCTTTGTTTCTATGCTTACAAAATCAGTTTTCATTTTAATGCCAAATCACAGCTTAATCTTTATGAAGATATTTACAATGGCAAGAAGTTCCACAGTGCTAAAACTCAATCTGAAGTTATGACAGTAATAATAAATATAATAAAGTTCATGCATGTGCACATAACAAAGACTATGTTGCTGTGGCCATGTGACCTATCACAATTTTAATGTTCCATTAATTGAGGCTGGGTATAGTAGCTCATGCCTTTAATCCCAGCACTTTGGGAGGCTGAAGCAAGAGGATCACTTGAACCCAAAAGTTTGAGACTAGCCTGGGCAACATGGTGAGACCCTGTCCCAAAAGGTAATTTTAAAAAGTACTAACATGGTTGGGATATAAAGGTCACTCATGAGATAAAAGATTAAATCTACCATAAAGCTAGAAAATCTTAAATTTGTACATGCCTAATATTTGAATAAAAATTAACA